GTAATCCTGGACTATCCTGAGATCTGGCAACTGTAAGCCAGTTTGTATCGCAAAAACTTTCCCAAAGAATACCTTCACAATTCTGTAGCTATTTCGTGGTTATACAACTTTTTTAATATGAGTCAATGCTATCCGTTTCACTTATTCCTCTCAGAGTAAAGCAAGGGTGCATACTTCATCCATTTTATTCACTCAGGAACTCAGGTAAACGCAAAGACATCACAGACTATCTGGATGTTGATCTTGGGCTCTGCTTCAGGAACTCCAGGAAACGCTTTCAATTTACAGGCCCTGATCATCATTAACAATCCAGAGGCAACTGTCTCTGCATAGTTTTTTCCATGAAAGATGCTTTTCCATAAAAGACAGAGAAGGGATTATGCCCTTCTTTTCAAAATCAACAGTGTTTTGTACTCAAGCTCATTTGGCAATGGCCAGAGTTACAAGCGCATACCTAGTTGGAATGAAGCCCAGGTTATCCATTGCAGCCTTATATGGAAAGTTTGGCCAGGAGTAATATTTTGAATTCTGATATATCGTATTTCATTGATTCTGATATGTACTTTTTTTTCATTTTAACATCTCTGAAATTGGGATTTATCTTATCGATGGCTTCTCACAGTTTAATTGGCATAATTTTTCTAAATGGAATATATGTGTCTTACATTCAATGTAAATCTTACATTCAGTAGCATCTTAAGTTTGAAATAATAAGTTATATGTATATATATCTTAAAAATCATTTACTCGATTTTGAAGAGGGCAGAAGGTGGATCATCTGACAAAACCCTCACTAGATGCAGACATGCTCTACACTGCTCCTTGTCCCTCCTCAGGCCGTGGCACTCAGAAAATGCCAGTGGATTTGTACAGCACATAGCTGAGGCTGCTTACAGCTGGAGGGGACTGGGTGGAAAATTCCACTGGAGACATTGTTTTCAAAAGTAAATCACAGAATATTGTTTGATTTATCACCATTTCTAAAACAAAGAGGAAATCAAGCCCTGAAAGAAATTTCAACTGCTTGTCAGTTCCACTCAGCCAAGGTTTTTTTTAATGTAACCATACCATGCCTCCTCAGTCCTAACTATGGCTTATACGTTGGTGCCTTCACAGGAAGCAATTTCCTCATCTGTGTGTTTTCCTTCTGGCCACTTTGTCGCTCCTCTCTTTCAGGTCCATACATTCAGAGGGCCACACTGGTGTGAATACTGTGCCAATTTCATGTGGGGTCTCATTGCTCAGGGAGTGAAATGTGCAGGTAAGAGCTCTCCCCTCTTTGCTTTATTGGGTAAGTTATGCAGTTATAAGGAGTAAGTTATAAGGAGATTTGCTGTGAAACACATACAACGGGCTGGGTCACAGTTTGCCCTTAACACACATGCGTAGGCTAGATTCTCACGCAGCCACTTTGGAAATCGATATTTTTCTGCCCTCAACCTTCGTGTACATAATGGGCAGTAGACTCAGGCTCTGGTACTATTCCATTAAAAAGAGAGAAGTTGCTTGTTTAAAAAGTCTGATAAAGGAGATAAAAGGAAAAGCAGTTATATTTAACTCTTGCCTTTGATGTTACAGGAACTAAATTTATAAAAAATGTTTTTTTAAACAGCAGTGTACAAGGACCTATGATTGTTGCCTTGGAAACTGAATTTTAAGGATAACTTGTTAAGCTAGATTGTCCTTACTAAATTTTTGTGAAATCAAATTGAAGCTTTAAAGATCTGTGAATTTATCTTCAAAGATGGTTACCAAATTCTGAAAAACCATTTAGTCACTAATATTTTGTTTGTGACATTTTGAAATCTTGAATATCCAAATCCTTCTTATAAAATATGACCACAGAATTTTTAGATTTAAATTTAGAAACTTTTCAGATTTACACATAGAGAAATATCAACTCAGGGATTTATTGAAATGCTTTATGAAATAAGTAGTCATTCACGTCACGTGAAATTCATTTGTATAGAACAGCTATACTGAGTACTGGCCATTTATTCACACAACTCTAAAATTCTGGCATAGGCTTAAAAATAATCATTTAAATTTTAAATGTATAGTGTTTGGTCATAGAAATTTCTTTCTGCTATTTAAATTGTAAAATTAAAAAATACCCTCTTACATGTTTAAGAGTAAAGTATTTCAAAATGGTAACTGTAATTACCATTCTGTCAAATTTATCACTGTAGAGATCCACATTTCTTTTGTGGCATGATTTTTAATGGCATATTTTTGTTGTCCATTATGTGTAGAAACTTCTAGGGTCTGAATTTTCTTGTTTCTAAATTGCCTCCTCTTTGAATAGCAAGGTGCAGTATGCACTGCCTGTGAACGCTCCAAGTCACCCTTCTTTCAGTTATCATTCCCTTAGCATCACTGCAGCATGTTAAGTTCCAGGCGTACGTCACCAGCCAAATCCATTCAAAGACCTCTCTGCCACAGGGAGGGATAAGAAGTCCCCCAAGTGTCCACTTTGAAGCATACAGAGGTTCAAGGAGAGCCTCAGCTCAGATCCAGTCTGACTCCTCCATCGTCCTATAGGGATGACAGCCCCATTTGCAAGTCTCTGCCCAAAGAGTAAATGTGGACCATGTGATTGTTCTGGCTGGTGGCTACCCAGAGTCAGGATGAGGAACTGTCATTAGGAAGGCTGTGGTCCAGCCTCTGAACTGGAGGGGAACACAGAGGAACATAAAGTGGTGTTGTTAAGACCATCTATGTTGTTGTGGTTTTTCAAAGGCAAATGGAGTTCTCCTTCCAAACACAGATCTCCTGCTCAAGGCCTGGTGGTCTCAGTAAGCCTGGTTTGCCCTTATGACACAGCCTTGACCAGCTGAGACTCTGCAACAGTTTCTTAAACACTTTATGACTGTCACTAACTTAAAAGCTTTTCTATTATTCTTGTTTTGAAAGAGTGAAGGCCATCTACATAAGAATTCTGAGTCAGCTGTTAGCAGAGAACTGGTACAATATGTATGAATAATCTTTGGCGATATGCTACAATCCCAAATCATGTTGGAAAGAAATGTGTTGGAATATTTATGATAATAATATGAAGGAAAAGGAGAAAGAAAATGATTCACCCCATCCCACAGCCACCCGCATTAATAGCCTCCACCTCTTGCTGTGAGTAAAGGACAGGAATTGAAAGAAAAGCCTTGAGGAGATTTTTCGTTTTATATCTTGTCCTTAAAAGCATTATATTCTATGTGATTTGAACTATATTGATGTGTAATATAAGAATAAGTCAGCCCACTTTTTAAAATGTGGAAGGTTGGGATTTGCATTAGTTCTGTTTTCTATGATAATTAATTATATTTGGATGGACAGTGGGATTCTTAGATCTGAAGTGGCACATCCTGACCACTGAGCCACCCCCTTTGTCTAAAACAGAATGCAAATAATTAGGAATTTAAAGAGAGAGAGAGAACTAACTGTGGTAGACTGAACATTGGCTCCCCAAAGATGTCCACTTTTTAATCCCTGGAAACTTGTGAATCTGTTACCTTTCATGGCAAAAGGGACTCTGTGATTAAATCAAGGATTTTGAGGGGCCAGCCTGGTGGCCAAGTGGTTAAGTTCACACGTTCCGCTTCAGCGGCCCAGGGTTTCGCTGGTACGAATCCTGGGCGCGGACATGGCACTGCTCATCAAGCCATACTGAGGTGGCATCCCACATGCCACAACTAGAAGGACCCACAACTAAAAGTGCACAACTATGTACCAGGGGGCTTTGGGGAGAAAAAGGAAAAATAAAATCTTAAAAAAAGAAAAAGATCAAGGATTTTGAGATGGGGAGATTACTCCTGATTGTCAGAGTGAGCCCAGCGAAATCACAGTCTCAAGGGTCCTTATAAGAGGGAGGCAGGAGAGGCAATCAGAGAAGAGATGTAAGGACAGAAGCAGAGGTCAGGGAAGAGAAAAGATACTGTGCTGCTGGCTTTGAAAATGGAGGAAGCAGGGCATGGGCCAAGGAGTGCAGACAGCCTCTAGAAGCTAGAAAAGGCAAGGAAGGGAACAGATTCTCTCCTGGAACCTCCAGAAGGAACACAGGCCTGCGTACACCTTGGTTTCAGCCCAGTGAAACTGATTTTCCTCAAGAGCTGTAAGATGATAAACTCTTACTGGGTTTTTTTACGGTTCTTTTTGCTGGGGCAGATTCGCCCTGAGCTAACATCTGTTGCAATCTTCTCTTTTTGTATGTGAGCTGCCACCACAGCATGGCCACTGACAAGTGACATAGGTCCGTGACCGGGACCCGAACCTGGGCCACTGCAGTGGGGTGCACCAAACTTAACCACTAGACCACCAAGGCTGGCCCAAACTCTTGTTTTAAGCCAGTAAGTTTGTGGCAATTTGTTACAGCAGCAATAGAAAACTAATGCACTAGCCACTAAACATTAAACAAAAATGGCAGGCTTACTGCCTGTCAGAAAAGAGATGTGTTTATCTGCTTTTGATTGCGAAGACAGCTTGCTTTGTTCTGGTTTCTTTTTTCAAAATCCTCCAAAGCAGAAGAAAGCTTGTCAAGAATTTTTAAAGGAGTGTTTGCCGAAAGCGGCAATTTTGTATCCCACCGCCCCCCCCCATCTTTTTTTTTTTTTCCCCACATTATGTAAAGTGTTGGGTGGTGTTCCAATTGCCAGGCTGGCACAGTTGCTATAGGAATCAGACTGAATCCAGCTAATAACAGGCAAGCTGTCCCTTCAGGACCGAAAGCTCTAGGCTTGCTT